GCCACAAGAGTCACATATAATTCATGAATATCAGCCAGGTTGATTTCATAGCTGCAGTTTTATCGTTGATGTGAGAAAGAAGCGCCTCATCGCTATAAAACACTGTTTTGGTGGCCTAGTCTTCGATTTCTTCATAATTTCATCAGTTTGCAGGAACTAACCACTTCATGAATACAGAAAAAAGAAATATTTTTTTCTATAATCAAAAATTCAAATTCGCTCACGGCAAAGTAAAATTTTTCACTGAAAATTATTCCTACGTGATTTTGAAAACATTGTCTGATCCAAAGCTGAAATACCTCTTCGAAGATACTCTAGTAGTGGGAATTTACAAAGGTGGTTATTCATTTTCAAAATAATATTGGTGCCGATTTCATCATTTCGGAAGTTAATTTGGATAATATCGCTGAAACGGCTTCCTTCATAAAAAACTCAGATGATCAAAACTGTTCCAATCGATTCTTATATCCAATTGGCAGTGTGGCAATCCATTTTGCATCCTGGCCTTTTGTATCTGTGCAGTGTATTGGCATGTTTGAAATTTACTTTTTCATTTGAGTAGTCTACGTATAGTTAAAGTGTGGTAACTATCCTAATCATAATATTATATTGAAACTTGTGAAATTTTGTGGGAGCATCAAGTTCAGTCACATTTATATTCGAATATTTGATTTCCTTGGTTCAATTTGGAATGCGATAGTGACAGTCACTGAAATTGTGAGAATGACTCATAAAACTCCGCCACAAGTGTCACAAATAATTCATGAATAACAGCAACATGTTAATTTCATAGCTGCAGTTTTATCACTGTAGGAAGGAAGCGTTTTATCGCTATAAGACACTGTTTTGGTGGTCTACTAGTCGATTTCTTCATAACTTAAGTGAATAATCACTTCAGAAATATAGAAAGAAATAAATATGTTCTTCCATAATTAAAAATTCAAATTCGCACACGGCAAAGTTGAATTTTTAATTCGCACACATCAAAGTTGAATTTTCAACTCATAAATAATTTCCAAATGATTTTAATTATATTGGGAAACCCAAAGCTGAAACAGGTATTCGAAGATACTATAATGAGAATTTCCATAGATGGTTATTCATGGTGCCTACTTTGTCATTTCGAAAGTTAATTTAGATAATAATATAAATGACATCATTGAACCACAGAATTTGGATGTTACTTTCAGTGTAGAATGAAACAATGAACACAAAATCAATTTGATCGAATCAAATAATAACTTTTTTTCGCTTTTCCTCAATTTTCATCACTTCCCTACTCTGAAAGCGGCGATTTTTTATAGTAACTCAGGAGGAAATATGTTATAATTTTTTGCGATTTTGAAAACTCTTTTTTTGAAAACTTTTCTGAAAAAACGAAGTTTTTCGACATTATAAGTACCCTGTATAACTGTTCTTTCTGTGAATTCAAAAAATTTTGATACTTTCTCAATCAAATATTGTATACTCTATACCTTGTGGACATTGCGACAAAATATATATTAGTCAAACTACACGGTTATTAAAAGACCGTATAACTTCACACAAAAGATTAGCACCACAAACTTGCGCCTTAAGCGAACGTGTTAACCTTTCAGAACATAATATGAATTTTCAATAAACAACAATTTTATCAAAAAAATTTTCTATTATTAGGTAATTAAACTAATTCTCAAGTGTTATATTTTTTCAAGAACTCTACTTCTTCACTCATTGTTGTCTCCCAGCAATCTTTGTCGTTGCTTGTTACCGCTTCCTGATATGTTTGTTGTTCTATAATTGCTGCACCGGAAATTTCGAAATCTTCATAATGGTCGATTTATTTTACATCGATTTCGAAGTTGTCTTCCAATCTGGTTATCCCGTGAATATGTTTCTTGGGTACTAATTTCGTTAAAATCTGTTCTGGTTCAGACGCAGAATCCAACCGTGTTGTTTCTGGTATTTCAGGTATTGAAGGCGTACAAAGAAAATTATGCGGATATAGACAATAGTTGGAACTGGTACAATATATTCGAAATATTCTCCAATTCAGTTCTCAACTGTTTCGGTACATGAGAGAAGACTTCACTACCAATTTTTTTTTTAATGATTCAGTTTGAGCTATTTTCCTCTCCATTTCTTAAATAATATTCGGTCTTCATCTGGTTCCCATGGTTTTTCTATTGGAAATATATACCGCTGCGTTTACTGTCTCAGCCCATTATGTACTTGCTAAAGATGTCTCGTTCAACATAGCTCAAGCAATGTTGACAATAGTTCTCAGATCTCCTTCGGCTTCACCATTTCGTTCTGATGTATACAGTGCACTGGTTTCATGAATAAAGCCTGTTTTCTTGAATTACTCATTGAATTGATGATTTACATATTCTGTTCCATTGTCTGTTCCATTGTCTGTTCCATGTTCTGATATTATTACCAGTCTGTCGTTTAACTAGTTTCTCTAAATCTTCGAAATTACATCCGATTTGTGTCTGATTGAGTATACTTGGATTGAGTATACTCGGCTACAACAACTAGATTGTGACAACGTTGGTGTGTATTCTCTTTGGAAGTATTTTTTGGCAAAACAGATTTTCAGATCTTTTCATTTTTGTCATAACTGCTATAACTGAGCTTGATTCAATGCAGCTACGTTGACTTGTTCGAATATTGACTTTTCAAAGATCATTCCATAATAAAGGTTCGATCGTTTTACACGAAAAGCAGCTAGAGTTTCTCCACAAAAACTTTAGCACTTTCATTGTCGAACATCAGTTTGAAGTTTTTATCTGTCACTGCTTCCAGTGAAAATTAAATTCTTGCCAAGTTTTGGAACATATAGGATATTTCCAAATATACGCAGTTATCGCAACCGTTTACAACTACATTAACTTCAATGGAACTCACGCCTTCAACAAATACAACCGAGTTATCACCAATTTGTATAGATTTTCGGTGAGGTAGATATTGAAGATCTGTGAACGATTCAGGATGGAAATTCATATGTTTGGAAGCTGTGCTGTTTGCAAATCAAACATCAATAACCCTCCATGCATTAATTCCTCTCTTCTGCACTGAACGCTTGGTATTTTTGCTCTCGTTGATTTTCCTCTCTTCTGCTTATTTTTGACAACCTTTCGTGACATTCTGATTTCATATGACCTTTTTCTCGACAATACAAAATGGTATTGATTTATCTCTGAATCGAGGCTCTTCTACAGTTATTGATTCTTGTTTGAGAACTAGAACCATGTTTTATGTTGACGACAACCAAGGCAGAAGATATTTCCTCAATTTGGGTGAGACGTAATTCTTCTTTCAGTATACTTGCGGCAAATTTGTTGAATGTCTGCTTGTCGTCTCCAAATAAATCCCAAGCTGCGATGAATGGTCCATATTTAGGAGGTAAGTTACCAATAACTTTAGCAATACTATCAATATCTTAAACTTCTTTTCCAACGTCAAGAAAGAGCTTGTGACATTGAATAAATTTTACTGATTTGTTGGGTGATATTATCAGTACTGGTCATTAAGTGGTTGAAAAACTCCTGCTTGATTTCTACTTCATTGATTGCTGAATAGCGTCCGGAAAGAAGAGGAAAAATTAATGAAATATCGAAATTTTCTCTTTGAACTCCGTAGACTCTATCCAGACCACTCTGTCAAGATGGTTGTTCGGATTATTGATGCAGATACAGAAAGTTGTCTTTCTTGACTCACTGCGCTTGCTCAGGGCAAATGATTCCCGTACGCAATGATCACTTACCCCACGGTGTGGAGGAAAGGTCGTTGGTTGATATGACTGACACGCCCTTCTGAATGTATAGGGACTTCGGGGAATAGGGCATGATCACCGCATTTTACGGTAAAAAAAGATAATGGTAATAATATGATAACAATAATAATAATAGGGAGGTTGTGAACTTTTGAATTTGGAGTTTCTTCATGAAAAATGGTACAAGATGGAGCTTGTAAAGTTGTCAGGAGTTTGGACCTATTTCTCTGCATAGTTTGCGCTCATGGAAGAGCAGGAATTGGAGCGTTACGCTTTTTTCCGGTCGATTGAGCTCAAGTTGGGAACTGAGTGGTTCATCATTGCCTGCCAGGATGGTGTTTTCAACACCTCAGTCTATCGCAGTTACGTGATGGGTATAGAGATACCTGACACAAGATGCTGCATATGCGGTCTTGGCCTATATCCATCAACTTAACGCGGCCCGAAAATGAGTGGATCCGAACTCCTGTCGACTTAAGAGGCTACATCCCGTACCATTCTGTCATGTAGATACTCCAAACTCAAAAGTCCATGGCCTCCCTGTTGTCGATAGAAGTACAACCGTGGAACGGACGATTTGGGATACAAACTCCTACAGACTTGCATAATTTTTTGGGTCTTTACGTCGAGTTGATATAGCTCCTCCCGAGTCCACTTCACTACTCCACATGAGTGGAGTAAGATTGAAACGGCAAGCATATTTGTTACAGCAACTTTGTTCTTCCCCGACAGTTACGATGACCAGATCTGACGAAGTTGACGTGATACTTGCAACGGAGAGAGTTCTCCAATGCCTCTTGTGAGTGGCGTTGTTCCACTCCGAGGTGAGTATACGTCTCTCTGACATCCAAATAGTGTAGGATGCTTGAATCTACGAGCTGCATGTAAGTATGATTTGTAATGTTATTCATTGGCGAAGAAATTCATTACTCATTAAATTTTGCCGATGAAGACCTCCTCATTTACGACCTGCTAGCGGAGCATGTAAATTGTGCCTGTCCCGCCGCAGTCCGAATAAGGTTTTCAATATTTTACAGGGTCACTCTCGCCAGCTTCCTTAAAAGATGATTTGCCAAGTCGACTACTCAGGGATTGTAGTGGTGGATCGAATATACTCACTCTCCAGACTCACCTACCTATCTGATTTCCATATTCATATAAATGAAATGAGAACCTAGGCATCTATAAATTCCTGGGTTCTCATTTCATTGAATCATGATGCTAACTTATTTGAAAAACATTTTTATCCGTACCATGAGTTGAAAAGAACCTCTCCTCTCAGATTGGAGACAGGTAGTATCCTGTCAGCCTGCCGCACTATGGAATCTATATTTTGCACCCTCGATGATAGCAGCGCTCTGAAGGTTCCTCGGAGGCCGGCTCTTCTCGCTTCACGATAACACGCATAATCTGCTCCGCGTACTCCATGCACATCACCGGCGTACGCCTCGTTCAGGGCGGCTAATCGTATCTTTAAAAAAAATAAAATTTTATTATCTGCAAAGAAACAAATGCAAATGCTCTATTTTATAACTGGAAAGTGATTGAAACTATATTAAGGGTGATCAAAATGGCGAATGCCATATGTGATATTTTTTGTTGCAAACCCTTACAGCATGTTTTTTTTGCAAATATTGCTTATTTATACTGAATTTTCATTGAGAATGGCTACTTTGTTTCGACACAGGTGGGGTAACCATATTATTACATTATTTTTATGGTCCACCACAGGCGTATCTTTGAAAAAATAGATCCTTGAAAAAAACCTCTATATTTCAGAATAGGAAAGATGAAAGATCAGAAAAATGGGTTTAATGTTGAAAAAATATACATGTGATGAACATATGTAACTGATCTACGATGACTTCGGCAGTGATGTCTTTGTGGTAGTTTCAACTTCGCTTAGCAACCAAAGTAGGAGGTCACCTTCAACAAATCCTGCAAAACACCCAACATGCGTAAAAGTTGCATCTTGCCAGCATTTTGATAACACGTGTCCTTCATTCAACAGAATTTCATTCAAATGATATTTTTTTGTCCTGGCTTTTCGAATACTCCGTAAATATGTTCTCCTTCACGCCGACATACATCGTTATAATGAAATAGATTTTTTGCTATATGTTTTTCCACTGAAAATCCACTTGTTTTAAAATTTTTCAAACTATACTTTGGCTCATCATTTGATAATCTGGTTATTTTTGTGAAGCTGCGCAAATTTTTCGACTCTTGGTATTTCTTCAATGAATAAATACCCATGTAGTTTAGTCTTTTTCTCCGCTTGAAGTTACAATATCCAATGTTGATCAAAAGTGGGATTCCTTGGGTTTTTATAGATCCTGGCCACTAATCTTCTCATTTTGTGAATACTTCTTTTAGAAACACCTAGAAATATACAGAAAAACACCACGTGTCCACTGTTGGCATTCCTTCAATAGAAAAATACTCATGTACATTTCCTGCCCCAAATTCTCGTGAATATCTAATTTCGGTCGACGTGGTAGTTCATAAATTTTCTATATTAAAATTTTCACTGTACGACTATATCTAATTTATAAATCAGTACTGTCAGACATTAATACCGTTATTTTCGAACGTTGTTGTTGTTGAAGACTCAACACCAAACCCTTTCATGCTGTTGGTTATAACCAAATATGATTAGGGTTATTGAAGGGAAAATTAGTATGTATTGGAGGATGATCTCTAATATCTTTCATCTTTTCAATTTTGAAAATAATTCTGAAGAAATTTTACAGTGAATGAGAAAAAAGTTTACAACAACGCAGTAAAACTTTATTTATTTCTCCCCAATTACGATTTATTACCAAAGCAGTAAACATAACAGTATATGTTGTCCTGTGGAAAAAATTATATTGGTGAAACCTCAAGACCTATAGATGCGAGAAAAAAGGAGCATCGTGAATATAATGAGGAGAAGACAGATCAGGGGATGGCGGAGCATATTCTAAAATCAACTGGTGATAACGCTATAGAATGAAGTGGAACAAAAATTTTTACCAAAGAAACTCATGCAAAAAACAAAAAAAAGAGAGGTTGAAAAAGGAAATAAAAATCTCAACTGAATTTTCGAAAAACATCCAGTATATGTTTCCATATGACAATCGCATATAACATCTGGATATTTCATCCTTTGGATGTATGTTGGAAGAATGTTAGGCATTGAAAACGAAAAAAGATTGTGTTCCGAAACGTCGACCACTAAAGAAAGCTAAGTATGAGTTTTAATTTTTTTTAAATCGATTTTTTTCAATTCGTAAGCAAACTCTATGCATACAAAAAGTTATTGACTAATTGGACACTTCAGTGGTCTTTATAACACAGTAACTTTTGGATGTGATCATTTCAGTTTGCACTTCAGTATACTTCAGCAGATTCTCGATTGATTTAGCATTATATTTTAAGTTTCTGGAGGGTTATGTAACCATGGACAGTGAGAAATAGAGTCCTCCTCAAAAAAATGTCCTCAAAATCAATTATAAAATTTCTGTTTCACATGATGAATTCAACAATTGGTGTAATATCTGAATAACGCGATATTATAATTACCGAAGCAAGTGATTCATTCGAATAAAAATCCTGAAAACATTGGAAAATGGATATTTGAAAACCATTTTCACAGGAACATTCTACATTCGAATAATCCTGGGAGATTACTAATTCATTTTCATCATTCTGAAAGAGAATCAAAGTTGAAATATAGGAATATTTGATAATATTTCCGAATGAGTCTCTGAATTACTTATATTTCCATTTATGTCATGCAACTCACCATTTTCAGATACCACTGCAGCAAAATGGCAAAATAAAAGATTAATTACATGCAAGATAATGAGTATATGAAACATTCTATAATATTTTCCATATACTTTTCTGCGAAAATATTCTATAGCGAAAAATAACTTTAAAGAAACTTCATTCATTCTAGATGACCTAAATCTCTCATACGATTTTACAGTTCGTCGAATCCGATGAATGAAAAAAAATAATCCTCGCTTGGAATCGAATCGCGGTTGCCTCCATGAGAGGCAATTGCTTTAGCTCGGCGCTAGCGCTGTATAGTGGACGCCAACTAAAATGAGACGGCGCAGAAACGTAAAATCGTTCTGTGTTGAAAGACTCTGCTCACTCAAATTATATTTCGCATCAGTAGCGCAACAGCCAGAAGAAAATAGTCTTGAGTCAGGCGATAAGTTATAAGTTGAGTCGTGAGTGAACTTATAAGTTGATAAGCCAATTTTAAACAACTCATTTATAAAATAAATGAGTGAGAAAAAACGTGTAATATTAACAGTGTATGATTACTATAAAACTAAAAAAAGTGGATTGGACACTTTATTCATGGTGAAAAGTTTAAATTCCATTCCAATAATATTTATTGAGTTTGGGGTAACCAATTCTGTGATTATTTTTTTTTATATTAAATAACTATTAGATAATCATAAATCATCAAATGAACATATTTTTTAAATGAATAGTCAATCACAATTGAATGATTTGTAAAAATTGATAAGGGAACCGGATATTTCAATGAAAATTTTATAGTGCTGTTCTTAATTAATAGTCTTAAATCTATGATAGTTTGATTGTGTTTGTATCGATAAATATCGGATAGCTTTCCCACGTTCGCGACGACAGTGACTTTTCTTCTTTGAAAAAAAATTGAACTCTTGAAATGTAATTTAGTGATTACAATAAGCATAATATTTCTTAGGATTCTTCATAATTTGTATTGTTTTCAATGTTACTTTATTCTAACATTGTTTAATGTTATATGTTATGTTATTTAAATTCTATGAATGCAATTGAATATAGGGCGTTCTATGAAAAATATAACATGAGGTTGTCACCATATAATGACACATCGATCTTAGTTGTGCTTAAAATAAATCATAGTAACTTTTTTCTATAACTGTTAAGATAACAGAGATTTCGAATTTTGTTAGAGGTTTGTGATACCTTGTAGATCTGTCAGTAACCAATTTATCGACACACAATAACACCCATTATATTATTAGTTTATTTTATATACATAATGAATTTTTATTTTTGTCGGGATAACTGTTGGCGACACTGTACTATTGACATCAGTTTGTGTGACCAAAAACTATCTTCTAGGGCGCATTAGAAGCTTATCTTAATTGGCGCGTACTATATCCCTCTAAACATCGCGAACCGAAAGAATGAGCAGCATGGTCACGGTAGTATCGGCGGAGGTGTTCTTTGTGTCGGAGTATATTGAGGTTGTAGTGGGTGAGCTCAAGACTGGAACATCAATGGCTTGCTGCCACCATATTAGAACAGGGACATACAGAGTATTATTGGTTGTCAGGATGAAATGGAGTTTTGGGGTTGGACGTTTTCGGGTCCACATTAAAGTGTGATATCATTGGTGAGCTGATTCCATTATTGAAGGAGTCATACAGTGTTATTGGTTATCTTATGTGGTGAAGGGGTAAATTCAGGTGTGAGGGTTGGTCGTGTATTGAGTTCTACAAGCTGATTTGCTAGTTGAGAATGGGGCATACTTGAATCAAAATGGTTGCCGAATAGGAGATGTGTTCTGCTAGGCTGTCATATGGAAATATTGGGAGAAGTCTTATATTATTGGAAGTTCACAAGTGTAGGGAACAGAGCCAGCCGCCCATCAATGCACGTCCCAGTCTTTATTCATCGAAGCCCCGGCGAGCGGTGAAGTCATGTAGAAAAAACTTTGTGCAGAAGAACATATGAAACGTGATATTCATTTCACAGAGCGAATGGACTTGCTCATTACATTTCTAGCCAATGAAGGAGTTTTTTACTTGAGTGATGATACCGTTCAAGGAAAAAAGTGCAGAAAAATGTAAACCAATAAGTACAAGCTTTTCACAGGAGGTTAAGGAAGTAAAGAAACTGTTATGAAGAATCGTTGAATTGCTATAAGAGGAGTTACTGAGGATGTCGGCATATCGGTTGTTTCATTCCACGCAATTTCTTCGGAAATTTTGAGCAAGAAGCGTGAGCGAAGAAGTTCGTTCCAAAATTGCTGAATTGTGACAAAAAAACTGTCGCATATGCATCACGCAGGAATTGTTGAATGAGGCAACGGCGATCTGATTATTGAACATACGGGCAGCAGCTCTGGCACTATTTCCATTCTATTAGTACAAAGTCACTATTTTAGAAACCTCAATTGTAACTTCACCTGGTAGGTAATCGTTATTGTAGAATGAGACAGATACAAAAACACCTATGAAACCTAGGTAACAGTTTATACAGAGTGGCTTGTTTTCAACTCGAATAATTTTTAGCTTCCAAACTATGAGCTTCAGACCATAATCTTTATACTTTGTTGAAATCTGTTCATCATGGAGAATCTGATAATGCGAAAAAATATAGGTGATTCATTGAAAAAAAATTGGTGATATTTTTTTATTTTTTCTGCAAATCATTGTACCAAAAGTTATTCAAGATGGCTCGTTTTGAATGGAATGTGCTATGGGCAATTCAAATTCGTTTCTGTACATGGGGATCTCCTAAACAATAAGAGATAGAGTGTCGGTTAAATTGTGGCAAAGTTGCGTATTTTAGAGACCTATTCAATGATGTGAAGAAATCTAATATAGCTCTTTTGGTTCTAGAGGCATACAGGAAAAACCAAAAAATACCAAATTATTTTTTTGCCTATATCCTCTTCATCCGCAGATATATTGAAAATCTGTCTACATTTTGCTATTGGCACTCGATGTCGGCTACCAGAATATGTCCACGAATCTTTTATACAGGGTGTCATCTGACTTGGGCCACCCCATCTTTGAATTCTTAAATATGGACCTGTATTTTTTGTTGTAGTTTTTGGATTGTAGGCGTTCCCTTCATACTGAGAAATTAAATTTTATTTTATATTTCGAAATGTTTCGGTAATATTTGATTATAATTGTGTGAATTATTCCCTTTTGAATTACGGATCTGGAAATTGGTTGACTGAGTTGAATAAAAACACAATAGCAACTTTCACAGAAATATAAAATGAAATTTAATTCCTCAGTATGAAGTGAAAGTGCACAATCCAAAACTACAACAAAAAATACAGGTCCGTATTTAAAAATTCAAAGATGGGGGTGGCCCAAGTCAGATGACACCCTATATAAAAGATTCATGGACATTACCTCTTTTGCCATATCGGCGAGTTGCTCTTTACTGTGAAGTGGGTACTTTGGAATATGCGGCCAATGAATGGTCATTCTCGTGATGCTTTTCCTGTTCTGCATTGGTGTAATCTCTATGTCTCATTCTGGAGAAACTTGTGACACAAATTACCACACCACATTGTGTTGATCCACTTCTGGCGTATATAGTTATCAAGAATAGTATTGGCAGGACTCAATCCACGAATGAAATAGCGATTCAATTCTTTGCGTGGGGCTGAATCGACAAAACTATCAGAGAAATTTACTGAAACACCACTTTCCCCTATGCGTCCCCGGACCATGTCGACCATCCAGATCGTCACGCATGAATAATCAATTCACAAAAATACAAAATACTCCGTACTGGCTATTGCTCCTCGAACTGCTTTGGTTATGCCAGCTGTAGCGCCAGCTGGAATACCCAACACTGATAATCCTGCGAAAATTGGTGAGAGTGGTGGAATTTCATCAATTTTCTGATTTATTTTAATTTGGTATTAGCATTTTATTTTTCCATCTGCAATCTTAGTATATTTGCATGTTGCCTTCAGCGCAATTTCAGAAGCCGTTTTCAAATTTTAGGTAACAAACCTGCATCGCTGATTCTGATTTGCTGGTTTCTCCTCGTTATGTGTTTCTCTTGTGCGTGGCAATGCGGTCTTTTAATAGCTTCTCAGTTTCACCACATAGCATTTGCCACATCTACAGGGTAACCGGTAAATGCAGTTCTTGGAATTGCAGTTTGCGTTTGGTGGTCTGGTTTTCATAGAGCTACTGCGGATGGTATTTTCCATTCCTTCCGACAATCTTCTGACGTAGGGAAGGGTAAGCACTGAATGTGGCGGCTTCTCGTCTATGAGGCTCTCACTGTCTTCTAGTCAAAATCTGTTCCACCATCACTTTGGACTAACCATTCCGTTGAAGATCTTTTTTGATGATGCCTAGTCCCTTCTCGAAAACTTTCTTCGTATTACACAGCTCGAAAGTATGATCCACTAGAGTCTTGATGCATTTATATGCCTTTCAGAAAGTGGGGTAGGAAGGAAAAGATATTACATGAGCGTTCACTTCAGCAAAGGTATATAATATTGCCGAAGGGCACTCGAAGTCAAACTGAAAACGCACTCCAAAAGCCTCTTCGTTCATACAGCTGAAAATCGTTCACGGTTGAATCCTTCAATCTTTGAAATTGCAGCATGAATCAATAGAAGTCATTCAAGGTTGAATCTAAAACACCTTCCTAAAGTCACCTTGCCTGGGTCCTGTAACGTCGGTCAAGGTCGTTCAAGGTAAAAATCAAAACACTTTCTCAAAGTCACCTTGGACGTATGTAGAGCAACTACTATCAATCCATCTCAATACACTACGACACCTCATCCGAAACAAAAAACACCCTCGCCTATACTTCGGCGTCCATCTTACACATTTAGTGTTAGCGCAGGAATAACAAACCAGCTTGTTATCAAGGTAACCGCAGTTCGATTTCGATGGAAGAAAACTTCTTTCATTTTTACGATTTGAACCTTGAAATCATATGGGTTTTTCAGGTCAGCCAGAACGTGCGGGACCTAGGCTAGCCAGCACCATGTGGTTTCCAGTCAGTCATCTGTAGAAATGTATGGGGTTTTTTGGCCAGCGGTTGTGACATGGAATTCACAGACATGAAACATCAATGCCAAAACTTTTGGCCTAAAAGTGAAAAATTTGAAGAAGTTATGGTGGAAATGTTCAACTCTAAGAATAGTTGACGACAGTTTATTATTCAAGACCAGTATAGTTCAAAGTTCAAATATTCACCATTTGGCAGATTGAATTGGTCAGTGTCACTCAGGCTCACATTTGAAATATATAATTATACTCACGTGCGAAGCATCAACTGGTTTGGATATGTGATTGATGAGGTTACTGGCTTCGAATGGAGGACGAATTTGAGGACTACTTGTTGTTGGTGGAGCCGATGTTGTAATATGAAGAAGCGATCCCAACTGTAATGATGAAACCGTTCTCAAATACATTTATATTACAAGCGTTCTCATCTTACAATCATGTCGACAATATTTTGTAGATGTTTATTTATCTTTGGTATTAGTGATGAAAAAATAAAACCAGATTGAACTGTAAGGGACCTATTGATTATTTCTAATGTGAGAAGTTTTGGATTGGAGTTTTGAATTTTGACTATCTTATACATACACAAACATGCTCATACACACTGTGTTGTTGAGAGTATGGCTGAGGATCTGAAAGAGTAAAATATATCAGTCAAAGACTGACTTGGATGATTCAAAGTACCTATAAACATGCAAATAAGTTCTTTTCATTGTGAAAATTATAGTTTCTGTGCAAACATTATTTTGAAATTTTCATCAGGAAATTTGTTGCAGATCTTACGTTTGGTTACGTTCATTTTGGTGATTCGGTACAGTGTCCACAGTCGCAGAAGTTACGGCATTCACAGTTGATATGCTTCTTCTGAAACACCTGATTGCGATACAGTGTGGTGACTTTGTCACACTGTACCACAAAGTCGGTTTGGAAATATGAAACCTAGAAGAACCCAATGAAAATACTGCTTCCGCACAATATTATCATAAAATACTTTTGGTTGCATCTTTCATCAACCAAGTTGGCGTCATCAGGAGATGACTCATGATGATTACTGAGCCTAACTTCGCTCGTTTATATTTAGAAGGATCAACCCTCAGTTTTACTTAGAGCGCCCGTTAGAAGTTCAAGAAGATACATTTTTCGAAAGTACCGTAAGTATGCCTAATTAATTCTACCTGGAAATGAACAGATTCAATAATGGCCAATTATTCAATTCAGTTTTATGGTTCATAAGATATTGAGAGTTTTTGAATTATTCATTTCCATACTCTCCAACAGGTTAAGTTCCAAAACTTTCTTCTGGAAATGGAGGGGCTTGTATTCCTGTTTGAACTCATGTCCTTCTGTGATCAAGTGAGTGGCATATGTGGAATTTATTTTTCCATTCTGAAAACAATATTTGTGTTTCTTTATGCGGGCTTTATACGTTCTTCCTGTGACTGCAGTTTCATTCTATAGGGACATTCTCAAACGGATACAAGTGGCACAAAAATATAGGAATTTCCATTTCTTATTTTTCAAGATTAATTTTACACGAGAAGTTCAAATTCTATCTATCAATATCGTAGAACACGAAATGCCAGTTCTATTTGAAGTCTCATCACAAATACAAGTTCAATCGTTTCACAAATAGAGACGTTTGCGTTTCTTATCAAAATTTCCAAACAATATAATTGCACTGTATTTCAGGAGCGTTTGTTTCATTCCACAGAAAAATCTGAATCATTTTAGTACCAATATTGTCATACTGATTATACTCTAAGCTCCGATGAACATATTATTGAAATTTTCCATTGGGATCATCATTATTACATCAATACCAATACCGGTAGTATGAATTTTTAGTATACAAATGTAGAAATATATTTCAGTTCAAGTGTCATTTTACGAATATGAGAAATAAAATGTATAAAACAAATAATCTTTGAATGAATAAGCCTCTTACCGCAACATATTGCCAGCCATTATTAACACGTAAGAGTAATGCTTCTTCTTCGATGATATATGCCAAAGTTCCCACGGGACTAACCGATGACATTTTAGTCATAGCTGCGCGGTCCTGAAAAGTGACCGTTCCTGGAACGATCTGTGCTGAAGGAAGCTGATTTTCTGGAATCTGAAAGACGGGAGGACTCGCCGTGGCTCTTCCTACGGAATGGATGAAAATAAAAATTTGTGTTGTCGAAAAAGCTGATGGGTGAAATTCCTTCATGCTTTTTGTTCCACCAGTATAACGTGTATAATATAATTGGCACATATATCGGAACGTACTCTGCGAGATGAAATATTTGGATATATAAAAAAAATCATCTGTATTTTGATTTACGTACGCCAAGAAAGTTTTTTTCAATCCACCCTTCGAATTTCGTTTTCCCAAATACATTTCAAAATCATATTCATCAGTAAATTCAATAAGGGTTCTCATATTGATTACGTTCGATTTAGATGAATAAATATAATAAATACCAAAGTTTTCAGTTTGTCCCACTTTTCAGGAGTTTTCAATGAATTTCTGGAAAGCAGTTTTGAAATCATCCGATATAGTATACCACAAAATATTAATCAAGCCTTTACCCTAATATAACGTACATCAAGCTGCCTATCAACTCTGTATATGGTACTTTGAAATTATCGTTTTCTGAATCTTTCAGATTCAATTTTGGCTGCATTTGGATTCTCGACATTTCACAATCATCCATCCCAAAAATAATTATAATTGATAAACTTTTTCTTAAATGTTTTTGACCAATATAAACTTTGTTATTCATCCTGATAACATCAGAGATACTATAAGGAAATAATACAAAAGCATCTACCCATATTAAAATATATGTAACATCATTGAAGTAGAAACATGGATTAACAATAGATCTTTTAAATTTCAAATCAATCAAGTGACTGTTCATATAATCATTCCAACACTTTGGGTTTTGGCATAAGCCATACAACGATTTTACTAATTTGCACACAAGACCAGGAGAACTCACTTTTGAACTGTCAGGTGCCTTCAAGTATACTGGTGTTTTGAGTTCACTCTTGAGAAATGCAGATTTCACGTCCATCTGATAGATGTGTGAATTTTTTCCAGTGGCAACCGCTACCAGGGTCCTCAATGTCAACAGTCTGGCTGCTGGTGCAGAGATATCTTCCAAAGTCGGTTGCTGATAACCTCTCGCAACCAAACGTGCTTCCTTCTGGGTTTCTTCATTTACCACCTTCACAGTAAAAATCCATCTGTAATCAATGATTTCCCAGGTATGATTTTCCTCTAGTGAATGAAGTTTTACATCTTCAGCTTCCTTTCAACCATTATTACTTTCAACAGCTTTTTCACGAATTTTTTGTACTTCTGAAGGTTAATGTCCAGCAGATGAAGCCATCATAAGATTGACATCTTATTCATATAGATATTTATCCTTTGCCTTTTACAAATACCATCACTTCCTTTCTGTAGCGTATCATTCTGGTCTTCATGCATAAAGTCATTCATTTGAATTGGAGTCATCTTCAGGTGTCAACTGTGTTGAATCACCAATTTCTATAGCAATCCTGTTTATCGGGCATCTTGATCATTCCATCAAATGCCACAGATCGAGGACTCACTATAATGTTTTGACTGCAATCATATAGCCGATAACCATTTCCACATTACCCTACCATGACTAATTTCTCAGTATGAGAGTCAAGTTTACCATTACGATTTTTTTTTGCCACATGTGCAATCGTTTGACATCCAAATATTCGTATTTGCCAGATAATACAGAATTTGAAGTTCTGTTATATAGGTTGACAGCTATTAGTGAAGATTCACTTCACTTCTATATACATCACTCGTTATAGATACACTGAAGAACTCTCTTTCCGTTCTCCACCTATACTTTTCAAAAATGATGTACGAGCTTGTTTCCCTTAGAGAAAGATCTCACACATTCTATTTTTGAAAACCGTACAGAGTGTCCCATACGACGGTGTCATAAGTTGAATGATTTTTTATTTGTAACAAAAGCTGCTTTGGTATCAAATTTGAACGTTAAAAAATTAAGATTGCTTACACTTTTTCCTTGTATAATGATAGCTCCACTTTGACAGAACTGTTCACGAATACAATAGCAAATCCCTTTTTCTCTATACGCTTTACTGAGAGAAGATGTAGGCAAGACCTTCACAAAGTCGAATTTAATGGACAAATTTGTTTTGGTTATCACAGGTAAACGTCCTTTCACTTCCGTATTCATCACTTCGTCTAGTCGTCATAACCTGATTTAACTAAGTGGGATGTTGCTCACCTATCAGTAATGAATTTTATTCCATTTTTATTTGCAAGTTCACATAAATCTTCTTGGTTTTGTTGAATTACTTGAGATGAAGCCTCTTCTTGTTTTGTGACATTGGCGCTATTTCTCTTGAGACACTGGAACTTCATATGACTTCGAGCTTGACAGAAATAAAATTTCCCACGAAAAGTTCCACGCACGTTTTTTTATGGATCCTGTTGGCGGGCATGGGTACCATAATGGCGGCCTCTGCCATTACTCTGGTTCTTGTTCATCTGCCTGTAACTACTGAAAGCTACACCTGGAATTTTCCACAATCCGTTCATCTTCTGATAACAGTTTATTTTTTACGAAATCAAGCTTGACAGAAGATGAACTATAACTTCTTGATCGTCCATTTTGCTTCCAGCATTTTTCAATTTACGATACGTTCTCTCGAGCTCGATCAAGAAATCACCAAGAGAGGTTTTTTCATCGAAATGAGTGTTCCTCAACGTTTTCTGCAACTGGACCTGGCTTGACATCCCTGACTTGACAAATGTAGATTTGAGCGACTTCAACATCACCTTAGTTTCTTTGTCCATGATTGTTTCGAATATATTATCAGCCACACACTGAAATATAATATCACGAGGAATGGCGTCCTTTTTGTAGAAATTATCATATTCTGGATCAATTTCTTCCGGAAATGTCTTCTCAATAGCATCTAGCACTAAATTCACTGCGATGCTCGAGTTACACGAATTTACCAGTTTGAAAAATTACCGGTGCCATCAAATGGTTTCACGTTCACGCTTACATGTTGAGCCGCCGCCATTATGCACGCCTTCTTTCAGAATGAGTACTCCTACCAATTTTCTCGATAATAACACTTCTCCATATTATTTTCGAATAAGTTACTGGGCTCATGACCTGTTGTACCACATCTTATGTAATAATAAAGCAATGATAAACTTATAGTTCATTGAGAAAAAGTGTGAAACGAGTAGCCAAAATAAACGGCCGTTAACAGAAGATACTGAAAGACAAGGAAAGACTACAAGTTGACTTTGAATACATTTTTCATATCCACAACACAGGAGACAAGATCATGAAGTATTTGTAGAATTGTATTCAATTCACCAAGGGCCACATATTTTCATTCATTGTATCTCAAAATTTCATTGTTTTTACTACCTTTGAAAAAATTTTTTTCATTATTATTAACATGTCATTGTGATCATTTGTTCTTTGGTAACACTTTTCTTTTCTCCATTATACTATAAAATATTTTCTTCTCCATGAAAGTATTTTATACTTCATTGTATTAACTATTGTTTTGTTGTTCTTCATTCATTGATGAATTTCAAATAATTAGCTAATGGTGAATCTATAAAGATTCGAAACATGTACTGATTGATGGTTTCACCGTTCTAACATCTGTTATTTCAGTCAATCTATATATGTATAGTTGAAGTACAGTCTTTGCAGACTAGTTAAAAACTAAACTTGGAACTTGGAAAATATCTTTGGATGATCAGCAGAACGGAAGTGTACTCTTATAACACAAGTTATTCCAATATTTTGATAAAATTTATCATCATCTTCAGGGAAAAGCTACAAAATTTGTATAATGGTGATACAATATGAAAAATTATCATTATGAAAGGTCTCAATTTACTGTTAGTGAGGTTGGCCGTGTCGAAAAGAATGTTACATTCAAACAATTGAAACATGTCAATACAATAAACCAGTCATTATATTGAAATAGGTTGACTCCTCACTGGATACAAAGAAGAATAATGAATTAAATTTATTAAAAATCGTGAAACTCTGCCATAGGAAGGTTGGAAGTTTGTTAAAAGAGAAAATATTCAAAATGTTATGGATTATAATAATGAAAAACCAGAATTGTTATTGATTTGGAAATCATGTAGATTTCTGTCAATGTCTAATAAAAAAGCATAGATTTCACTGAGGTGATCAATATCTGATCTTTCATTGGGGCAATTAGTGGAATATAATATAAATGACATTTCCAAAAACAATATTTTAGATGTATTGCTTTCAGTTGATAAAGTTTTTGTTGAATTGTAGTCCATTTCATGACCTTCTTTGGAAACATGATTACTGAGAGCACATCTCTCAGAATGTAATCTACTATCACTTTTATGTGCGCTGATTCTGTCTTTGAGTAATATTGACGTTTGACCAATATATTCCCTACCACAATTTTAACATGGAATGGAATAGATTAATTGAGATTGAAAGTTAATAGGAGTTTCATCTTTGAGTTTCGAAAATTCTTGGGTGTCATATCACTTATGTATGGTAAAGAAGCTGATCTTTGCTCTCATTGAAGTACCGCGGTCAGCACTATGTTGTCCTTGAGTTCGGGTTGAACCGCATCTGGAGTTTTGTATTCGACGTTTCGGCTCCCATTTTGGAGCCATTTTCAAGAATTTGATGTGACTTGACGCCGGGACCCCAATCTACCTACTACCAGGTCTCGTCGCGAGTTCTCTCTAAAGTCTCAATCTGCCTGCTCCTCAGATTGAACTGATCTATCGATATCGTGGCGTAGAATTGTGAATCCTATTATTGACAGTTCCTCAGAAGTGCAAATCCTTTGGAGTTAAATCGGGAGAGTGAGGAGGCTATTTTTCATATAGGCTATGTCTACCAATACAACGTAATGGAGAATATTTGTCTAACCAACCTCGAACCATTCAAGAATTATGAACCTCGAACCATTCAAGAATTATGGACGAGAGATCCCTCTAGCTGAGGTTACATCTCTTCTCGCACATTCAATTATTTACCATAATTCATTATCAGTGAAATTCAGTAGTCTTCCAGCGTTAATGGTATTACTGAAAAAAAAACGGTCCAATT